GCTCCGCTCCGGCAGATGTAGTAGGCGGAAGCTCATCCTCTGATGGTTCTTAGTGCCGCCGCCCACACTCTCCTAGCCCATCAGCATCCACGGCTGCTGGCTCCCCCACCAAGTAGGAGATCGTCATCTCCTCCGGTGACGAGGAGGACCAGGCAACGCCCCCGCATCCACATGAGCCACCGCTGTAGCTGCACCGACCCCTCAAGGTGGCTGCTCTGACGGACAATATATTGTCCGCCAGATCGAGATAATGACGGAGCGGTCGCTCCGTACATGGGGCCCTCTCCGCCATCGCCGGCGTGCATGAAGGTGGATCCGCTGTCCCCGCCACACCACCACGTTAAGCCCAAGCCGGCATCCACGCTACATCAATGAAGTAGGAGCCAACCCCTCCCCGGCACAACTGCCACATCCATATTGGACATTGCATGGTGAGGAGCCAGCCTCGCCCCCGCACCACCGCGGCATCCTGATCGGACGCCGGGTCAAGGTGGAGCCCCTGTCCCCGCCATGCAGCCCGTTTGATAGAATTTCGTGAGCTTTGGTGGAATTGTTGGCTCGTTTTATAAGGCTAGCATTGGATGGCGTTCCCTGTCCGCGGACGGATGCGGGAGAAAATTTTCGGGTTGCCATTTGAGATGCCTTATAATTTAAACCCGTAAGAGGTCCTATGCATTCACTTTATTTTCATCGTCTCTCACCGTTGTTATGTGGAGTAAAGTACCTGGGAGAAATAATTATGAGTACAATCCACATACTAGAAGTGTACATGGTACAAGGTACAATAAAGTCTCGTGTCTCCTCAATGGGAGTGAAAGTAAAAAGCAACAATAGTACGACAGTGGCCGGCCATTCAGAGCTGGCTCAGCGTACGCACTCCTTTCTCCCTCACATGGAGATCAGGTCAGAACGTTTATTCATATGTATTTGTGACTTAAGCATACTCAGAAACGTCGGATGGCGCGATATGCGGCAGCCATGGTGGGCAGTGGTTGATTAGCGAATAGTAGAGCAGTCAAGGGAAGGGCTGATGGCGTATGGGATGCTGATGCTGCACTTGGAGGGGATGTCGGCGGCCTTGCCAGCGTTGAGCCCACCAGCAGCGCTCTTGATGCAGTTGCACGTCGTTTTCTTGTCAGTGGTGCTCCGCACTGCGCCCGCAAGTCTCCTGACGCCGCTGCAGCAGGCCGCAGACGGGTTGGCACCATTGCCTCGTGCATAGGAGATGCAGGGGCTCAAGGCGGAGTTGACCTGACCGCATGAGATGGCCGCGTCAGTGGCTATGAGGAGCATTGTCGCCACCAGGGCGACCAGCACGAGCCGAGCAACTGCAGCACGGGCCATCTCGATCTAGCTAGCAATAGTAGTGGTGGTGAGCTCCGCTGCAGAAGATGAGATGACTAGATTTTCTAAGTGATTATACTGGTGATGAGTTTCGTAGAGGGGTGCATGGGCTTAAATAGGGCTTTGAACCAACATTGTACCACCTACTGTGTCCATATGGATAAATCCGATTAGTGCGAGTCAGAACATAAATTTTTTTTGTTGGATGTTAGATTCGGTTGATGGATATATTAATACGTTTTGGAGATGGTTGGATGTTGTATTCGGCATGTGATGGATGGACCAGGCATGCATGTGTGCATTCTTGCAGTGGAGTGTGGTTGATTCGTGGCTTCGTGCACGGCTGATTAATAGCGACATGTACTCTCAAAATCACCGATCCTGGAGTAGTTGATCAATAAGAGGGTGCTTGGATCCAAGGGATTTATTTTAGTCTGAATAAAATTAGTCTCTCTTTAAGAGGCTAAAGTTCCAAGCACCCCTGACTAAAGAGGGGCTAACTAAATTTTTTTAGTCAGGGGTACCCCTACTAAAATGTGGATTAGTCCTCTCTCTACTCATTTAACTCCTCTCTTTAACACAGGCGAGTTCTGGATAGGAGGGTTTGAAGGATAATAAATGCATATTAACTTGATTTTAGCATTTTTTAGTATTTGGATCCAAACATGGATGAGGCTAGCATGTTTTAGTCCTACTAATTTTAGTCATGGGACTAAAACGTATCCAAGCACTCTCTAATTTGGTGAGCTCGACTAGTGAACTACACCATATGATGACGCAGGTGGTCGTGCACTGTCGGCGATCAACTACCTTGCCTTACATTGTCCCCTTGTCACAGTTTAACATTCATTGTTGCCAAATCATGAGCTGCATTTTAACTAGTATTGACTTAGATTATATGAAGACAGTATCTTTCAGGTAAATTTGCCGTGTATCATGATGCTGCCAAGTATTGCGTCCACAGAGATAAATCTGATTGGTGTTAGCCAGTGCATAAATTGTGGTTCCTTTATGTTGGAATCCGTTGCGGGGTATTAATTAATTTTGGAGACGGTTTATTCGTAGGAGCCGCCATCGACCGAGCATGCCTACCGGTGGAGTATGCTTGATTAGTGCGTACAGGGAAGATTAGTAACGCCATGTACTCTCACAATGATCGACCGTGGAGTCGTTGGGTGCATTAACTTGGTGAGCTCGACGACTGAACTAGCTATACCAATCTGTTGTTGCATGTGGTCGTGCAGTGCTGGCAATCAACCACCTTCCTTACTTTGTCCAGCTTATGGTTCATTGATGTCATATTAAGATCTAGTATATTTTAATCATTAATTTAGTTTATATGAAGAAATGTCTTTGGAGTATTATGTATGACACGGCGAACCGTATTTTGCTTATTATGCAAGTGGCTTTGGTGCATCCGGGTCCTATGCGGCAACGCTGAAGCGGAATATTGTTGCGCCGTGCCGCTGCTATCTTTGGTTGTATGTTCCACAAGTGGAGCCATTAGGGATGAAGTTGGAGAGGTCTAGCACTACTGACGGATCCAGGCGCATCCAACCATTCGACGTGCCACCATTGCAAAGTCTCGATCGATATACACCGTTGGGCATCTCCAACGGCGACTCTCAAATCACACGTACACATACTTTTGAACCGTACTGTTCGGACCATGAAAACAATCCAACACGGTCCTATATCGGTTTGCAGGGCTGTCCGGACCATGATTTTCCTGCAAACCAGAATCAAACGTGGATGGGTTTTACGGAATTCTGGACATAAGAAACGATGAAATTTGACGCCTCTGGCCCACCCAAAAAGAAGCCGGAGCCCATGCTTTTGTAGCAACCCACACTGTTTCCGCCCTAAAATCTCCTACTCTCTTCACTCAATTCCCACCTGAGGGAGTCCTGGATTAGGGGTGTCTGGATGGCCGGACTATATCTTCAGCCGGACTCCTGGACTATGAAGATACCAGATTGAAGACTTCGTCCCGTGTCCGGAAGGGACTTTTCTTCGCATGGAAGGCAAGCTTGGCGATACGGATATGCAGATCTCCTACCATTGTAACCGACTTTGTGTAACCCTAACCCTCTCCGGTGTCTGTATAAACCGGAGGGTTTTAGTCCGTAGGACAGCATACAGAACAACAATCATACCATAGGCTAGCTTCTAGGGTTTAGCCTCTCTGATCTCATGGTAGATCTACTCTTGTACTACCCATATCATCAATATTAATCAAGCAGGACGTAGGGTTTTACCTCCATCAAGAGGGCCCGAACCTGGGTAAAACTTCGTGTCCCTTGCCTCTTGTTATCATCCTGCCTAGACGCACAGTTCGAGACCCCCTACCCGAGATCCGCCAGTTTTTACACCGACATTGGTGCTTTCATTGAGAGTTCCTCTGTGTCGTCGCTGTCAGGCTTGACGGCTCCTACGATCATCAATAGCGATGCAGTCCAGAGTGAGACCTTCCTCCCCGGACAGATCTTCGTCTTCGGCGGCTTCACACTGCGGGCCAATTCACTTGGCCATCTGGAGCAGATCGAAAGCTATGCCCCTGGCCGTCAGGTCAGATTTGGAAGTTTAAACTACACGGCTGACATCCGCGGGGACTTGATCCTCGACGGATTCGAGCCACTGCCGAGCGCGCCGCACTGTCACGACGAGCATGATCTAGCTCTGCCGAAGAACAGTGTCCTGGAGGCCGCACCCGCATCGGCTTCGACCCTTAATTCGGAACCAATTGCGCCGATCGAGGATAGGTGGTTGGACGCCGCCTCGGGGGCTGCGATCCCAATGACGATCGAGCCGAACACCAGCCCCGCACTCCGCGAGACTCGTGACTCCAAGGAGCGGGACTCCTCTCCGGACTCCGAACCCTCCGCGCCCCTGCCAATCGAATCCGATTGGGCGCCGATCATGGAGTTTACTGCCGCGGACATCTTTCAGCACTCGCCTTTCGGCGATATTTTGAAGACACTAAAGTCTCTCACTTTATCAGGAGAGCCCTGGCCGGACTACGGTCAGCAAGGTTAGGATAAAGACGATGAAGAAATTCAAAGCCCACCCACCACCCACTTTGTAGCCACTGTCGACGATTTAACCGACATGCTCGACTTCGACTCCGACGACATCGACGGTATGGACGCCGATGCAGGAGACGATGAAGAACCAGCGCCTATTGGGCCCTGGAAAGCCACCTCGCATATGACATATACATGGTGGCCACCCCATAAGAAGGAGATGGCGATGGAACAACGGAGGATGACCCCTCCAAGAAATAGCCTAAGCACCGGCGTCAGCGGCGCCGCTCCAAATCCCTCCAAAGCAATGTCACATCCCTAGCTTCAGGCATTGCTCTAGGTTAGCTTCATGTGTGCATCATGTCTATATTTTTGAAACTTGAATTGAGGAATATTGGAAGCCTCAAAACCCTAAATAAAAGAGGGGCAAAAACCCTAGAAATCTCATTCATTGCTCCAAAATGCTCCTCTTAAGTGTTTGATAATTTTTGGTAAGGATTCTGGTCCCAACCAAAATATTGAACATTTTTAAGGAGTTATTTTTGGGACTTTGAATTTAATTCATTAGTTATTTGAATTTGAATTATATTCATATAATTAGAATATAATTTCAAATATCCCTGAAATATTTTATAAGCTTTTGGAAAAGTCCATCTAGCAATATAAAATATTCAGTGGAGTTTTTGGCATTGTTTGAATTATTTTTAAAATTCAAAACAGTGGCAAAATAATTTAAATAAAACAAAAACAGAAGAAAAATATAAAACAGAATGTAAATAAAAGCAGAGAGAGAGTTTTACCTCAGCTTACCTCGCAGCCCACCTGGCCCAACTCCAGTGGCCCAGCCGGCCCAGCCCACCTCCTCCCCCTTGTCCTCTTCCTCCTCTGCCAGGAGGACGAACAGAGGCGAGGCGTGGCGCGCGCCGACGCTGCCTCGGCCACCTCCTGCTTCCCCCTGGCCACCTCCTGCTTCATCTCGTCGCCCTGGACCCCGTCCGCGACGCCACGCACCCCCCCAGGCCTCTCACTCTCTCCCCGAGCTCCTCTCCTCCTCTGGCTCTCTCGCGCGCAGCCACCGAACACACCCGCCGCCGACGACGAGCTTCCCCGTGGCCACCGGCCACCCCTAGCCTCGCCGATGCGCCCAGGAGCTCCCCTTCGACCCCTCCTTCCTCCCCACCGACCCACGGCCCTACGGACGCGCCACAACGCCGCCGGCATCGCCGTTTCCATCGCCGGCCGCCGAGGATCTTCACCGTCAATTCGCCACCATCGTCGCTTCCCCGAGCTCGCTGACCCTCCCTGCACGATCCCTGTGAGTCCCTGCTTCGTTTCCCCCTAACCCCATGCCCGATTACGAGCTCTAGCCGCCCCCTCTACCGGAGCCGAGACGCTCCGCCGCACGGACTCGTCGCCGGCGAAGCCCCGATGACCAAATGGCCCCGCGCGTGCGTCCGTTGCACTCGCAACGACCCGTGGAGCAACGCTAGCGTGGCAGCTAGCTTGTTTGCAAGCTGCAGCGCTAACCCCGCACCCACCCGAGCTCCGGTCGCCGCCTCGGGCTCCATTCCGGCGAACCCCGGCCACCCCCGCACCTCCCGTTGCCCCCCCTAGATGCGCACGGGCACGGGCTACCTTCTGGTGCCCTTCGCACGTCCAGCCGCCGCCCGTAGCGCAACCCAGGTGAACTTCCGCCGCGTTTCGGGTCGCTGCCGGCCGAACTCCGGTGGCCAGTGACGTGGCGCTGTCATTAGCCACTAATGACGCGCTAACCAACCCCCTAGGCCACTGACAGCGGGCCCCACCCCTGGTCAAACCCCAGTCAGCGCTGGGTTTGACCGGGATTAGCTCCTGTGTCACTGACGTGTGGCCCCCACACGTCAGGTTTGACCGAGCCAGCCCAGTTGACCCTGCTGACGTCACTGTGACGTGGGGCTGACGCAATAAGTATTTTCTGGATTTAATATTATTCAGGAA